GCTGGGATGTGCAGGATCACTGAGATGCTCAGGGACACCAGGATGTGCGGGACACCAGGATGCAAGGATCACCAGGATGCACCGGGCAATCAGGATGCACAGGGCCACCAGGATGCTCAGGGACACCAGGATATGTGGGACACCAGGATGCAAGGATCACCAGGTGCACCGGGCAATCAGGATGCTCAGGGCCACCAGGATGCTGAGGGACACTTCTGGGTGCCCCTGGCATGGGCAGTGCCATGGCTCCCACGCCCACCATTCCTGCACAGGCCGGAGCTGAGCTGTGTGTGGGATCCCTTGGCACTGGCAGCTCTTCCAGCCTCAGGTGCATCGTGCTGGATCTCACGCCGCTGGAGAGGACTAATCCCTCTTGGATCTCCGCACCTCTCCCTGTGCCGGGGTCGGGTTTGAAGTGTTTCCTCACATCCATAAAGGCCAGAGCTCGCTCGTGCTCCGGAGGCAGCTAATCCCGAGCCCGCAGGAGCGGCGGATAAAGGAGCAGAGGCACGTGACCGCATCCCTGTCTCCCAAACATTCCCCATCTCCCACCCCAAAGAGGGCACTGTGCAGGGGGTTCCCTGCTTGTCCTAGATCTGCCATGGAGACCCTTCCCCTGGATCCAGAACTCTCTCCAGTGGCACAGGGACCCTCTGCCTGCATCCGGAGCCCTCTCCCCCCGGAACAGGGACCCTCTTCCCTGCCTCTCGCAGCACCACACAAATCCCACGCTGGAGAACAGCGGCGCTAAGGAGGCAGGTAATCCCCTCATCAATAACGGCCTGGAAAAGTGGAATTATATCCCTTCAAGTGGCATTGAATCCTGATGAAAGCGCCGCAGGGATGTTCCACCCCCCTCCCATCCTCCGCAGCATCCCCTGCTCTGCCAGCACGTGGGACGGGATTGGGACCTCGATCCCTCCGAGGAGGGACGTGCGGTGGCCCCCCCTCACTGTGCCCTCGGGATGAGGCAGGACCAGCGAAAGGCCGCTGGGATTTGGGACACAACCGCAGGGACCCCACGGCCGTGGACCCCCGAGTCCCACGCAGCCGTCTCCATGCTCCCGCCTGGATGCGCGCTGGCAGCCGAGATTTATGGAGAGCGGCAGGGAAGGAAGGCCAGCGGCGGCGTAAACAAGCGTCGCGTTTGCACCTTGTCACCCGCCCCCGGGGCTGTGTCCCGCTGCCACGCGGCTCCCGCGTCCCCCCCGGATCCGCCCGCCCCAGGGCATCCCGTGCCGCGCATCCCAACCGGCACAGGGACCCCGCACCGCGCCCCGGGGCTGGGGACGCGCCAGCAACTCCGAGCGGCTCCGAGTCTTTAATTAATCGAGCGCTAATTGCCTGGAAAACGAGTCATTTAAGTCACGCTGAGGGCGGCGCAGCCTGGGGGCCGGAATGCCTCCCCCCGCCCTGGGGACGCGGCGTGATCCCACCGGGAAGGGCCGGAGCCACCTCGTGCACAGGGACACCCCCTGGGGCCCCCCGGGCAGGATCCCGCCGGTGAATCCACTTGGGTGACGCCAGGTTTGGGGGATGGTGGCACCTTGGCACCGGGAATTTGTCCCCTGGAGCCGGCGCTCCCTGATGTCCCTCTCCAGGCGCTGCCCCCGCAGTGCCCACCCCTTCCCTCGCCTTCTCCTCTGATTCCCAATCTCCAGATTAATTTGAGGATGAACTTGACCCCGCGAGGACCGAAGGATCTGTCGGAGCTCGGGGCTAAGCCAGAGGGGTCACGGTGTTCCCAGCTGGAGCAAGGAGAGCTCATCCCAATTCCCAGTGCTCCCAGCAAGGCCCGGTGCCACTCGCACTGGTCGGGGTCGCAGCCGAGGGGGTGCCGTGCTTCCCATTCCGGCTGCTTCCCATTCCCCCGGCAGTTTATCCAGCCGGGGTTTATAAATGTTGGAAATTAAGGGCTGGTCCCAAATTCCCTGCTAGGCAACAGTTGCTATGTGAGTTTTATACACAGGCTCCTCGTGATCCGGGAGCGATGGAGGAGCTGCCTTTGGATGGAGAGAGCGCGGGTGCTGCAGGGGGGACCTGTCCCCAAAACCACTGTCACCTCCTGCTCAAGGAATTGTTATAAATGTCCCCTTCACGGCCACCACTCCCTTTCCTCCTCGGATTCCAGCGGGGATGTGGGAGCTGTGGGAGCCTCGGCACGTGCCGGCGGCGATTCCAGAGCCCTGATCCCCCCTCCCGGTCCACTCTGACTCACCCCGGCCTCGGAGCCGCCGGGAATTTTCGTTACAATAACAAGGTCTGCGGGCGAATTAATTATTAACGTTTATTGTTTAATATTTATACTGCAGCACGGCTCCCGGCGCTGCTCCGGCCTCGCCGCCTCCCGCCGCCAGCTGGGGCTCCCACCACGGACAATCCCACCCCAGCGGGCTCGGCAGGATGCGGAGCATCCACAGGGATGGGGGTCCTGCCTGGAGACAGAGCTGAGCTGGTTTGGGGTCCCACTGGACCCCTCCGAGCCCCCTTGGGTCAGTGTTCTCACCCCACCCCGGTCATCCTGCGTGCTGGGAGCCTGGACGTGAGCAGAAGTGCTGGATGAGGCTGACGGGTCCTTCCCACGCTTTTGGGGTCCCCAAGGCCAGGCTGGGGAGGAGGGGGCCTGCGCTGCCATTTGGGATGAATCCATGTGGGATTGGCGTGTAAAGCAGTGGCCGTGGCCTTTGCCAGCTGTGCTGGTTTTCCCAGGGTGTCAGTGGGGATTAAAGCTCCAACCTGAGCTCCCGGGAAGTGCTCAGGCCGGATTCCCCCCAGGACACACCGGGAGCTCACCCAAAGGGGTGGCCACTGTACTGGGACACTGCAGAATGGAGCTGGAGCCTGTTGGACCACATTCCCTGTGCTTTCCCTCCCTGCACCCCGGCGCACGCCAGGAACACCCCAGGATTTAGGTCTGACCCCCCCTTTGTGCTCTGCTCCCCCCAGGGACCCCCTCCCGCGACGTCCTCCTGGTCTCAGCCATCATCACCGTCAGCCTTAGCGTCACCATCGTCCTCTGCGGGATCTGCCAGTGGTGCCAGCGGAAAATGGTGAGCGTCCCGCTTCCCTCCCGCCCTCCCGGCATCCCGGCGCGCCCCGGTGCCGCCGGCCAGGGCCGATTCCCTCTTGCAGGGCAGCAGCCAAGCGGAGGCAGCTCCCCGGAGCTGCCGGCTGCAGCTTTTATTTGGGCTTTTCCGGATGTGCTAATGAAATGTTTGGGCGAAACTGTTTGTGTGGCACAAAGGGAAGTTTCCAAATATATGGATATATATTGGTGACGAGCCGGAACGAGCTGGCCCCTGTCCTGCTGGGCACGCTCCTGCCTGGAAAAGCCCCGTGGGAAGGCGGCCAGCCCGTCCCTGGCAGCGCCGGGTGCCGTGAGCCATTCCCGCCGCCCGCTGTGCATCCCTGCTTCCCTCCCGGATCCCACCGGGGGCTCGGGACAGCGCTCCCTCCCGCCCCGCGTCCTTCCTCCTCCTCCTCCTCCTCCACAGGACGTGCTCGGCCACGTTTCCTTCGCCATCGGAATCGAATCTGGGTCAAGTGCTGCGATGGCAGCGGCGCTTCCCGCCAGGGAGGTGCCCACCCCCAGCCGTGGGAAGGCAGCGCTCCCTCGGGAATGGGAGAGGAGGCAGCGGGAGGTGCCAAGGGCCCTTCCAGGTGCCACCCAGGGCATGGGGAGAGAGAGCTGGCGGAGGAAAAAGCACTGGAAAGGAGGAGGCTGGAGCTGGCAGAGGAACAAAGGAGTGTGAATTGGCCGGGAAGGCACATCCCAGCCGGCCCTGGACCGGAGCTGGAGCGGCTGTGTGGGAATGACGGCCAGGCCTGGCCGGCTCCGGGCGTGCCCACGCTGCCACCTCTGCCATGTCCTCAGGAGCTCTGAGCCACCCCAGCTGGGGACACGGACTGGGAGATAATTCCCTCTGGGATGGCCTGTGAGCACCCAGCGAGGTCAGGCACCCTCGTGCCTCCCGCTGGGATTAGCCCAGGGGCATCCAAGGAGGTCCAGGTGCTCCCCTCCAGCTCCTGGCAGCACCAGCCCTTGGGCATCCAAGGAGACCCAACATCCCTGCAGTTCTGGGCAGGATGAGCCCATGTGAATCCAGGGAGGTCCAGGTGTGTTTCCCTGCAGCTCGCAGCACCAGCCCTTGGGCATCCAAGGAGACCCAACATCCCTGCAGCTTCTGGCAGGATGATCCCATGGCTGCCCAAGGACACTGTGCTGAGAATCCAGGTGTCCCAGCAAGCCAAGGAGATGGCTCCATGTGGATATGGAGAGGCTGGGAAGAAGGAGGAAGGAGAAACATTCCAATTCCATGGGCAGGCTGGGTCAGGCCTGCCTCCTGGGATGCAGGACAGTGGGATGGGAGGGCTGGTTCTCCACCCATCCTGCTCCTGCAGCTGTTCCCATCCCACCTCATCCCCCTGGCACTGCATGGAGCATCCTCGCTCCCAATTGTTGGATAATTGGCATTAATTGGCTCCTGCCCACCCTGGCTCAGAGCAACGCTCGGAACCTGCGGGAGTGCCCTGATTACCAGCCCCAGTTTGGAGCCAGCTCCAGCTTCATTATCCTATGGCAGCACTTCCCTGGCGCTGGGAAAGGTGAACTCAATTAATTCAGGCACAATTAGGCCTAAAATTATCCACTCCTTCCCAGTGAGGCCATGGAATGGGATGCTGGTGGCTGTGGCCGTGCTGTCCTCGGGGTGAGGCAGGGCATGAGCCCCCAGGGACCAAGGGATGGAGCCTGTGGGAATTTGCTGCCTGGATGGGTGGGATGGAGACCACAAGGGAAAGGGCAAAATCCAGGTCAATTCTCTAAGTGGTGTCAACTCCCATCTTCCATTGGGATACTCCAGGGGTCCTCTGCAACCCCCTGACCCCCTCTCCTCTCCTTTCCACAGGGAAAGCGTTACAAGACTTCCCTGGAGACTGTGGGAACTCCGGATTCCAGCCGAGGCCGCAGCGAAAAGAAAACCATCAAGTAGGTGCCAGGATGGGGGGGGAGAGGAAGGACAGAGGTGGCCATCCCTTCTCCCAGTGGGAGAGGGGCTCTGGGAGACCGGGAGAGCTGGTGGGCATCTCCAGCATCCTGGTGTATCCCACTGAGCCGTGGGCATGACGGAGTCACGGGAACGGCGGCGTGGGTGTCCCAAGGGATGCTCCAGGCCTGGGTGTGGATTCTGAGCTCTGCCCGGGGGGGCTGGAGCAGCTCTGCATCCCACGGGCATTCCATGGAGAAAGGAGAGCCCGGCTGGGGCATCCCACGGCACTGGGTAGGGAGTGAAGTGGAGCCTGGAAGCTGAGGCTGTTCTCCTGGGCATCCAGATCCAGCACTGCCTCTCCACACCCTCCGCAGGCCTCCAGGGAGGAGGGAGCTGGACACCAGCAGGGAAAAAGCTCCTGCCTGGAATAAGCCTTTGGAAAACTTCCTCCCGTGGTTGGCCTGGGTGTTACCGGGGTGCAGGAACACCTGGACGGCTGCTCCCAGCCAACCAGGATGAGCTGGGAACGGAGGGGAAGGCTCATCCCACCCGATGTCATGGCACGGGCAGCTTTCCCAAACTCCAGCACATTCCATACAGCTGGCATCAACCCGGAGCTGCAGGTGGGCATTGGAGACTTCTCCAGTCTCCCAGCACCAGCGGGGAGCTGCTGGGCCCCCAGGCCCTGGCACCAGCTCCAGTGGCTTCCCAGAGCCAGGAGGTTCAGGTTCTGTGCTGGCATCAGGCCAGTTCCTCGGGAAGGGATCCGCAGGGAAAGGGATCCAGAAGGGTCCCCAACACGCAGCAGTGTCACAGTTAACCGAGCGCTTCCAGGACCCGGCTGCTGAGCAGGCGAGGACACACGGACAGGCGTGCCGAGGGCGCACGGACACACCTTTGGGAATGCCCTACAGGCACCGCGCTCGCCGACACCTCCGTCACCCCCCACATCCTTCTCTCCTTCCCAGCCGGCGGAGCCGCCCGCTCCTGTCTCTCCGCAGCTCTTCCCATCCTTCCGTCCATCCTTCTGTCCGTGCCCGTGTGTGTGTGTGTGTGCTGCTGTCCAAGGGTGGGCTCCCCGTCTCTCTCCGCAGGATCCTGGCGCTCCGGGGGCGGAGGGCTGCTTTTCCTTCTCTCTCGCAGGAATTCAGCTTCTCTCTCTTGTATTTCCCTTTTCTTTCTCCCCTGGAATCCGGCCGCTGTAGCGATCTAGACAGAGACTTTTGGAATAACAATGACAACACAGTGCAGCAGAAATGGAGCTCCTACCCTCCCAAGGAGTTTATCCTAAACATTTCTCCTTACGCTCCGTACGGTGACCCGCGCCTTTCCCTCAAGTGAGTCTCTCCCTACCGAGTTTGCTCCGTGTAGTGAGTATATGGGCAGCACCCTCTTGCCTTCCTCCTCCTCCACTTTTCCTCCTCCTCCTCCTCTCTCTTGCTCCCGGGCTCCCCGCACGCCACCCCATGGGCCGTCCCATGGAGACGAGCAACCCCTCCTTCCCGCACTCCCGGGGCCGGCCGGGATCTCCCTCCAGGACGGGGTTGCGCGTTGGGGGCACCCCCTCGGCGCGGGGACGGGTCCCCCCGGGGCTGGGCTGCCGGCGAGCGGGACCCTCCTTCCCGACCCCTCTCCCTCCTCCGCCCTTTCTCTTGGATGTTTTGCCGAGGCCCCCACGCACCCCGCGGCCAGGACCCCCCCTTTTTTTTTTTTTTTTTTTGCCGTGCTGATGTCTCTCTTTCTCTCTCTGTCTGTCTGTCCGTCTCTTGTCCGTCTGCCCCCTCCGGCTCTGTCGCCCTCCCCTCATTCCCCGACGGCTCCCCACGTTTTCCACGTCCGTCCGTGTGTCCGTCCGGCTCCCTTCGTGTCTGTCTGGGGGGGTCCGGCCGCCGGCCCGGCCCAGTGGCTCTCTGTTATCAGGGGCCAAACTGACGGCGTCGGCCGCCGCCGGGCTGTCCGGGGACCGCGACGGCCGGCCCGGGGACAAGCAGCGGCTCGGCGAGGATGGAATGAGGAGCAGCGTGTCCGCCCACAGCGAGCCCGGAGCTGGAAAGGCCGCACGGGGCCGCTGGCACACGGTGCAGAGCCACTTGGCCGCAGGGAAGCTCAGCCTGTCCAAGTGAGTGAGCACGGCACGGTCCGGCACGGCACGGCCACGGCCGGATGCGCTTGGATGGGGGCCACCGACAGGACCCCGGGGCCGCCAACAGGTCCCCAGGACCACCGTGCCGAGGGAGAGGAGGCGTTTCCCGTTCTCCCAGCGGTGTTTTGGCTCAGGGGCAGCAGAGGAGGCGGCCGGGCAGGAGCAGCACCTTTGGGTGCTGTGCCCAGCGCTGAGGGTGGCCCTGCCCAATCCCGCTGGGAAGCGGCTCAGCATTCCCAGCTCGGGTTCGCAGGGTAGGCAGCGCCACCTCGGTGGCGTCCCGAAGGCAGGAGGTGCTGTCCCATGCTCCCATCCCTCAGGGACGATCAGGGACAGTCTGTGGCATCTTCCCCCCGTGCGCTCCCTTGGCTCCCGGCACAGCCACCGGACCCGGCGCCGAGAAAAGTTGGGGAAAGCCCGGCACGGGCCAGATTTAGGGAAAACCCGAGCTCTGCCAGCTCTGCGGGGCTCCAGGCCGGGGTGGGGGTCTCGGCGAGACCCTTCACTGCCGGCAGCGCCGTGGCTCTGGCGCGGCTGTGCCGGCCGTGGGCTCCGTCCGGCGGTCCCGGTCTCTGCTCCGGTTCTCGGCGCTGGGATGCGGCAGCCGGGGGGTCCCGGCAGCACTCCGGGACAGCTCGGTGACAGCGCCCGCTCGGCGTGAGGCCGCTGCGCTCCGGTCGGGCGCCGGGAAGCAGGAGGGAGAGGAGGAAAAGCGGGAGCGGCGCAGCTTCAGCCGCTCCCCGCTGGGAATCCGGGCAGGGATGGAGCAGGGCGGCAAGGGCAGGGTTAAGGGGACGTGGCGGAGCACCCTGTTTTCCACCACCCCCGGGACTGGGGGTGTCCCGGGGGTGCGGGCCGAGGGTCGGCGGTGCCGGTGCCGGTGCCGGGGGATCCACCCGGGCACGGGCAGGGCGCGGTGCCGCCTGGCACGGCGCTGGAGGAGCCCGCGCCTCCAGCTGGCGCGGGGCCGACAGGAGCCAGATTTAGTTTCCTGTGACTGAGAGGTTGTAAATTGAACTAATTTAGGATTCGATAGGAAAACGAAAGGAGGTCGGCGGCAGCGCGGAGGGGGGCGGGGGGGCGGCAGCGTCCGGGCAGTGCCTTTGGCCCCGGCCGTGGGGCGCCGTCCATCCTGAGCTCTCCGCTCCTCTCCACTCCCCTCCCTCCTCTCTCTCTTTCTCCCACCTTTCGCTCTTTCTTCACCTCCTTTTTTTTTATTTTTGGTGTTTTTTCGGAGCTGTCTATCCCTCCCCGCTCCCTCCCTGTCCCCGCTGCTGGCATTGCACGACGGCACAGCTTCCTTCTCCCCGCGCTCCCGGCCGGCAGCGCCGGGACGGGGACAGGCTCGGGGGCTGCTGCTCGAGGCCGCTCCTCGGTGCCAGGCGGTGGTCCCGGGAGGACTTTTGTCCCCTGATCTCGCGGCCACGAGCTTCCCAGGCTGCCGTGGGCAATGCGGCTGCATGGGCTGCGCCACGCATGTTCTGCACGGCCGGCGCCGCTTCCTTGGGGCATCCCGCTGCTCTCCCCGCTCCGCCGCCCGCACGAAGCCCGTGCGCCCCGGGCCGGGCTGCTCCGCTCTCCGCGTCCCACCAGAGCTGCGTCCGTATCCCCCAATCCCATATCTCGCAGCCCGGCTGGAGCGTGGCTTGGCCCCGGGGACGCCTCTCTGGAATGTCACCCCCACGGGGGTTCGGCGGCGCTGCGGGATTCCCCCTTCCCGCAGCGTCCAGCACGGAGGGCATGGGACGCCGAGCCCCCGCGGCGCCGCTGCCGGGCGCTGGGCTGGACTGGGAGGGACTGGGACGCTGGGATGGGCTGGCTGGCAGCACGTGAGCGGGCGCCACGGGATTTGCCTCCCCGCAGCAGCCTAATTATCCCGCAGAGCAGGTCGGCCGGCGTGCTGGGAAGGCGCTGGCGGAGCGGCGGCCGCGGGAGCGGGTGGGCATCCGGCCCTGGCGAGCCCGCCGGGAGGCAGGATGGTGGCTGCCCGAGCCCCCCGTGCCGCCGGCAGGGCCGAGCCGCGGGCGAGAGGCGGAGGATCCGGGCGCTGCCCCCGCTGGCTCCCGCCGGAGCGCTCCCTGCGCTGGGGCATCTTCTCTCTAACTCTCTTCTTTTCCTTCCTCCAATTTTGCCCCTTCACCTTCTTCTCCTTTCTCTCCTCTCCTCTACCCTTCCTCTCCCTAAGTTTCGAGGACTCCACCCTGTCCACAGCCACTACCCTTGAGTATATCCCCACCTCAGCAGGCGATCCCAAATTCCAGAGGCCCCGCACGCTCGTGCGCCAGCAAAGTCTGCAGCAGCCCCTGAGCCAGCACCAGCGCGCCAACCACAGCCAGCCCACCACCAGCCAGAGCCTGGGCCACCTCCAGGCCCACAGCGGCTCCTCCGCCGCCGCCGCCGGCTCCCGGGGCTCCCGCGGCGGCCCGGCGCGCCAGGGCACCGCCGCCGGCTCCAAGCAACGGATGGCCGGGGGCAGGAGCCGCTCCAACCCCGGCAGCTGGGACCACGTGGTGGGGCAAATCCGCAACCGCGGCTTGGACATGAAGTCCTTCCTGTAAGTGTGCGTTCGCCATCACTGCCGTCTGCATTCTCCCCTCCGCCCCATCCATTCCTCTCTGCGTCCCTTCCCCTCCTTTGCTCTCTCTGCTCCATCACTCTCCATCAGCCTCTCATGTGCTCTGTCCCTCTGCTCCTTTGCTCTCTCCACCCCTCTCTCCATCGCTCTGCTCTGCTCCTTTGCTCTCTCCATTCCCTCTCCATCCTCCTCTGCTCTACCCCTCTGCCCATCCCTCTCTAGAACCCTCTCTCCCTCCCTCTCTCCTCTATGCCTTCCTTCTGCTCATCCCTCTCTCCTCTGCTCCTTTACTTGCCCCGGCGCAGTGGCTCACCTGTCACCCCCTTGGGGACACGCTGCCCACGGCCTGCGGGAAGCTCCACGTCCCCCCCGGCTCACGGGGGGCTCAGGGAAGGGGCTCCTGCCCTTCCCCAAAGCGCTCTGCCACAGCCCTGGCCATCCCCTGCCATCCCCAGGGACGGCCACCAGCGAGGTCTCCAGGGAGTGACATTGTCACGGTGCGGGTGGCAGAGTCTCCTGTGCCGGGGTGACCGTGAGTAGGGCCCTGATATCATTCCCAGCCAGAGGAGCCTTGGGATCTTTAATCCTCCTTAACCCCATCTCCTCCATCGGCTCTGGATTTCCAGCATCAAACCCCGGGGACTAATCCAAGTCCCGTGTTGTCACCGTATCTCGGCGCATGACATTGGCCCTCCTCTGCAGAGCTGGGCCCCCCGGCTCCATCTTCCCTTGGATTCTGTAGCTCCTCCCTGGCCGTTGTTTGCCCCCTGGCACCCTGGAAAAAGGAATGCTGAGATCCCAGCTTTGCTTTCTGCAGGCTGGTGACATTTGGAGGGGGATGCAGGACTGACCTTGCCCCTCCATGAGTTGACACAGCACTTCCTGCATCAGGATTAGATGAGACACACAAATTTGGGTGTCCATCCCACCCTTCCCGCTCTGGTGAGAGGGTTGAACCTTCCTCCAGGCACCCTTGGATGCACTGCTCGAGATCCCCTCTCCACTCTACCCTCTCCCAGGTTCCTCCCAGCTCCATTTCCCGGCTTCCCGATGTGGAGCTGCGCTCAGCGGCCACCCGAGGGTCACGTTCTCCCTGTTTGCCGCTGCTGGTTCCAGCCTGACTTGGCGGAGAGGGAGCAGCCGCAGAGCCCAGACGTGCCGAGTCAGCGCCGCTCCCCAGCGGAGGAGCCGCTGTCATTTCCCACCGCCTCTTTCCCCATCCATCGATTTTTCTTTCGCTCTTTCACCCCGTTCACCCTCCCCGCGCCGCGGGTAAATGCGGTTACAGACCCGGAGAGGTCAAAGAGCCTGCCCATGGCACCGCCAATCCCTTCCTCCATGGAATGATGCTGGCACCTCACTGCTGTCACGCTCTCCCTCATTCCCAGCCCCTCCAGGCATCTTTTCCCCCCTTCATCAGGATTTTGGCACCCTCCCTCGCCCGGACCAGTGGCGGAGAGGCACAGCGCGGGTATCCACGCCTGCCGAGCTCCCTGGAGCCGGCGCCTTTCTCCCCACAGCCCTGTGCGCCCATCCCGGCCACCGGCACCTCGCAGGAGCCGGCGGGGACAGCCGGGGTCCCCTGGCCGCCGGGGCTCCGCGGGACGCCGCCGGCTCCTGCCGGTTCCCTGCCTGACGCTGTGTTCTCCTCTCTCTTTCTCTCTTTCTCCCGCTGCCGGCGGGGCCGCCCGGGCAGGGAAGGCCGGATGGTGGTGCTATCCCTGGTTTTGGGACTCTCAGAGCAAGATGACTTTGCCAATATTCCCGACCTGCAACCCGCTGGGACGCAGCCGAACCAGGCGAACGCTCAGGGGGACAAGAGGTATGAGCGAGGACGAGGCCAGTCCCGCAGGAGGAGGAGACGAGGGCCTCACCCAGGGTGGAGGAGGAGGAGGAGGAGGAGGCTGGCCTCGTGGAGCGCGAAGGTTGGAGCGGCACAGGGTGGCCCAGCGGGCACCGGGACGTCTGAGCTCTCCCCGGCAGCGGCACCCGCGGTTCTGCCTCTGGAGCGGCGGCACCGAGAGGACCCCCATCCCTTCCTCCTCCCTCCTCCCTCCTCCCTCCCCCTCCTGCCCTTTCCGGCCCTGGCTGCATGCGGGGAGGGGGTGCGGGGGGACACGCTCAGGGACAGGGGGACACGGGGGGTACCCCCCAGGTGATGCCGCATGGGCTGAGCCGCGTTCCATCCCGACACGCTGCTGCCGCCTCCATCCCGGCGGGATGGGCAGCTCCCCCGGGCATCCGGGGACACGCTGCGGTGGCAGGGAGGCAGAGCGAGCGCCACGGGCCGGGAGGATGCCGTACCCCCGTTCTCCTCCGGCACGGCCCGGCCCCTCGCCTCCGGCTGCTCCCCGCATTCCCGGCGTGCCGCCGGCTCGGCACCGGCGCCCGGCCGCGGCCACCGGCGCTGGCTGGCAGAGGCAGAGGGTCCGTGCGCCGCCGGGAGCGGGTGTTCATCCCCTCCGGAGTGGGGAGGAGGTGTGAAGCCGGCGGGCGCTGCCTCCCCGTGTGCTCGGCGTGCGGATGAACTGGCACCGTTCTCGCCCGCCGGCTATTTTTACCCCGCTCCGCTTGGTTTCGCTCCATCTTTTAGCACTTCCCTCCCCAGCGTCGCGCTGCGCAGCCGGTCCCCGCCGGGAGCACCGGCAGCCCGTGCCGGCCGCCGGCTGCCCCGTGCCGAGGGACGGGGACGTGGGACACGGCGGGTGGGGGGCTGTGCCGCAAGACCCCGCTCCCCGCTTGCCTCAGCTGCCCGCTCCGAAACCCCATCGCAGCACGTGCATGGCATTCCGCACCTCCATCCCTCCCGCTCCTCGTTCCCTGGACTCCGCAGGACGGGGCCGGCTCAGCCGGCGGAGGGGACGCGCTCCGGCAGCCTCGGCTCTCTCCCGCCCCCCGACGCTGCCGACCACCCGCTCTTCTTCCTCAAAACATCTCCTCCATCCCTGTTTCGCAGCTTCTTCCTTCCAGCCTGTCCCCGGCGGCTCCAGCCCGGCGCCTCGGCGTGTCTCCTGTCCCGGCGACTCCGTCTGTCCGTGCACCCGCCCCGCTCCTCTCTCCCATTCCCTCCCGGCAGGCCGGCGCTGGACGACGCTGCTCCTCCTTTCTTTTGCTCTCTCCCGCTCTCTCTCCCGCTATCCGTGACCTCCGCCGGCATTCCCGGCTCCACCGGCGCCTCCTCGCTCAGCGGCCCCGCCGCCGGCTCCTCCACCTTCATTTTCCCTGGTTTTAACCTAATTTTGCCTCCCCAGCTGCCTCGGCCTCTCTGGTCCTTCCTGGGTGCCATCCCGTGTGTGCGTGTGGGTGTCCCCATCACCCCGCCATGTCCCCTCCCGTGTGTCTGCGTGTGCTTGGCGTGGTGGCGTGTGTCCGTGGCATGTTGTGGCTTCCCGTGTGTCCCTGCGCCTCTCGGTCCGTCTGGTGGTTTGTCACCGTGTCCCAGCTCGGACAGGAGCCGTGGCGGGGGGGTGGGAGCATCCCTGGCCGCCTGTCCCCTCCGCCACGTGCCTGTGTCCCGTTGTCCCCGTGCCTCATGGCAGTGTGGCCTCGGCGCATTCCCGCCTGTCTCCATCGCTGCTCTGTCCGTCCGCCTCCCACTGCTCCCGGCTGCCCACCCTGCCTGGCACTGTGCCCGGGAGCCACCATGTGTGGGGACAGCCAGGACAGTGATCCCAGGGGTGTCTCAGCCACAGGAAAGTGGGGCAGGGGGCAGTGAGCCCATGTGGAGCACCCGTGGGTGCCTGGCACCCACCGGGATAAGAGGGTGTGGTGTGTGAGGAGCAGCCAGAGCTGTGGGGACCGCGCTGTCCCTGCCATCGCTGTGGGACGTGGCCAGGGGGACCTGCTGCCGTGTCCTAAAGGTGCCAGGCCACCAGCTGGCTCTGGGAGCAGGGCCAGGATGCTGCAGCCACCGCGTGTCCCGGCAGCGTCTGTCGGGCGCTGGCACAGCCCAGGCTCAGTGTCCGCTGGCAGAGGGTGCCCGGGAAGCCCCTCGCTGTCTCGCCCTTGGCTCCCGGCCCCTCTCCTCCAAGGCCTCTCTTCCTGCAGGTTGCCGGCCGGTGGGAAGGCTGGGAATGCTGCACCGGCACCGGGGCAGCCGCCGCTCGATGAGTCCGACCGCAAGACGGAGCCGCACTCCTCCGTCTCCGACCTGGTCAACTCCCTGACCAGCGAGATGCTCATGGTGGGTGGGTGGGGTGTGCTGGGTTTGGGGGTCTCCACGCTCGGTATCCAACCCTCCCAGCTCTTCCCTGCGCCATCCACAAGCGCTCCGGCACGTCCCTGCCCGCTGTGCCAAGTCCCCGTCGGCTGAGCCGACGCGCCGCGGACGCGTCCCCCAGGCTGGCACGAGGGAGCGAGCGGTGCTGGACACGTGAGGGATGCGCTGTCAGGAGGAATTTGGCTAATTGGAGCTCCCGTTCCGCGGGACGAGTGGCGCCGAGCCAGGAGCCGTTGGAAGCGGTGGGGGCAGCAGGAAGCCGGGGAGAGGCTGATGTCCCCTGACAGCTGGCAGGGCTGGGGTCTGGGGGACGGGGCTCGGGTCCCCGCCAGTCCCCGGCACTGCGCTCACCCCCCTCCTCTGCCCCCCTCCCGCAGCTCTCCCCCGGCTCCGAGGATGACGAGGGCCACGAAGGCGTCAGCCGGGAGAACCTGGGCCGCATCCAGTTCAGCGTCGGCTACAACTTCCAGGAGTCCACCCTGACCGTGAAGATCATGAAGGCGCAGGAGCTGCCAGCCAAGGACTTCAGCGGCACCAGCGACCCCTTCGTCAAGATCTACCTGCTCCCCGACAAGAAGCACAAGCTGGAGACCAAGGTCAAGAGGAAGAACCTGAACCCGCATTGGAATGAGACCTTCCTCTTCGAAGGTATGGATTGGGATGGGCTGGGGGGGATCAGGGTGGGAGCAGAGCCTCGTGGGACCCTCCTGGGGTTCAGCTCAGCTCAAGCCACCAGAGTGGTGGCTGGTGGTGATGCGATGGGTTGGCCAAGGCACCGAGGCCAGGCTGGATGTGCATCCCATAAAGGGGATGTAGGGGAAGGTTTGGAAGGCGCCGTGCCTCCATGGGTGGGTGCAGATGTGGGAATTAATGTGGCAGCAGCTCCTTGTGCCATGGGCTGCTCCCCGTCCTCTGCCTGGTGCCAGGGTCTTGCCACCAGGACAGGAAGGGTGGAGCAGTCCTGGAACTGCTCCTCACCCCCTTTGGCTTTTCCATCTCTGTCACAGGGTTCCCCTACGAGAAGGTGGTGCAGCGGGTGCTGTACCTCCAGGTCCTGGACTACGACCGCTTCAGCCGTAACGATCCCATCGGAGAGGTGTCCATCCCACTCAACAAGGTGGACCTGACCCAGATGCAGACCTTCTGGAAGGACCTGAAGCCCTGCAGTGATGGCAGTGTAAGGCCCTGGGCGCCCCCATCCCCCTGGGGAGGGGAGGTGACTCGCTGTCCCTGCAGTGTCCCAACAGGACCACCCCCCATCCCAAACAGGACATTTTCTGCTTCAACATCTGACAGAGATTTTTCTCTTCACAGATTTTATATTAAGTAGCCCAAAGTCTCATTTTGGGTCAAATCAAACTGTTTCAGGTAGACCTAAAATGAAAGTTTTTTCTTTGTCCTGCCTCCAGCAAGACCAGAAAATGTCCCACTGGGGGTGGCCCTATTTCCTCCTGCCCTGATTTTCTGTGCCTTCCCAAACCCCACCCTTGGGCTGCTGTGGTGGGGGTCCCATGCCAGCACCCTGCTCCCACAGAGGAGCTCTGGGGGGCATGGGTGTCCCCAGAGAACATGTGTGTCCTGCAGGGAAGCCGCGGGGAGCTGCTGCTGTCGCTGTGCTACAATCCCTCAGCCAATTCCATCGTGGTGAACATCATCAAGGCAAGGAACCTCAAAGCCATGGACATCGGGGGCACCTCAGGTATGGCGTGGGCTGGCCCCGATCCCAGGCGGTGTTCCCTGGCTCCCATCCGGGGCTGAGGGATCTCCTCTCCCACCAGATCCCTACGTGAAGGTGTGGCTGATGTACAAGGACAAGCGGGTGGAGAAGAAGAAGACGGTGGTGATGAAGAGGTGCCTGAACCCCGTCTTCAACGAGTCCTTCGCCTTCGACATCCCCACGGAGCGGCTGCGCGAGACCACCATCGTCATCACCGTCATGGACAAGGACAGGCTGAGCCGCAATGACGTCATCGGCAAGGTGGGTGACACGCCGAGGGACACCCAGGTGGGATCAGGGACAGCCAGGCCCAGGCTGCCAGCGCCTGGTGCCATCTCCAGTGTGAAGCGTGGTGCAAACCCCTCGTTCTGGGTGTCACGGCCACAGAGGGCTGGAGCTCTCCCAGAAAGGCAGGGATGGAGCATGGGGGGGCCACACCAGGATGGATCCCACCCCCAGGGATTACTCCCAGGGAAGGGAACGGTGGAATTATCCATGAAATCACCCAGCTCATCGTTAGTGCAACGATGACAAATGAGCGCCATAATCTCCATCCATGATCCCCAAACGCCGTGCTGGGGTCGGGACTACTCAGCAGTTGGGATAAATCCATTAAATAAATCCCTGGATCAGCGCTGCAGGCTGCCGGGCAGGGGTGGAGGGGGCAGAGTCCCCAGTGTGGGCACATCCAAGAGCCCCATTCCAGGGATGGACAGGCAGTGGCCATGATATCCCACTCTCCGTTAAAACCCCCCCGTGGCCTGAGGCTCGCTAATCACTTTTGATCTCATAATTAGCAGCGAGCTCTGCTCCATCCCGGCTCTCCGGTGATGATCCGCGGAGCCGGAGCGGTGGCACCGGCTCCCCGAGGTGGCAGCAGCAACAGCGAGAGCTGGCACACGCGCTTTTCCAAGGCGCCATATGGAAAATTGAGGGATAAAAATAGCCCGGCTCTGTGCCGAGCCGGAAAAGCGGGGCTGGAGCAGTTTGGGGGTGAAGGCGTCAGAGCCGGGCAGCGGGATGGGGATGGAGAGGCCGTGGTGGCTCCAGGGATGCGTTTCCCGCAGATTTACCTGTCCTGGAAGAGCGGTCCCGGCGAGGTGAAGCACTGGAAGGACATGATCGCCCGCCCGCGGCAGGCGGTGGCACAGTGGCACCAGCTGAAGGCCTGAGCGCCCCCGGACCGCGGGCTCGGGGTCCCCCTTCCCAGCTCCCAGCCCCTTCCCGCGGCTCTCCCGGCCAGGGACCGGCGGGACAGCGGCCTGGCTGGCGGGAACCCCTCGGGAGGACGGGGACGGAGCCCCCCCGAGCCCCCGGGTTCGCCTCTCCCCGGGCTGCGGGGGATGCGGAGCCGCCCCCAGCCCCGGCCGAGGAGGTGCCAGAAGCGATGTCCCCCCATCCCTATTCCCACCACCGGGCAGGACTTCTGCGAGTGCTTCCAGCCCCGCTCCCGGAGCCCCTCGGCCCCTCCCCGGCCTCGCCCCCTCCCCATTTCAGGGGGTCAGGCTGCGGGTGCAAGAGGGACCCTCCTCCCTCCCCTTTCAGCTCCATAAAACCTCTCGGAGCCGCCAGCGGAGCCACGGAGCCCCCTGCCCCGCGCCCTCCCCCCGCACCCCCTCGAGTCTCCCGGGGCTGGCGGGGGACACCGAGGGGAGGGCACAGCCCCTTTTCCTGGGATCGGAAGCCATGACACAGTTCCTTATCCAAAGCGGGCTCCTCCGTGCACTGCCTTCAGCCGGGTTCGATGCTTTACCTCCGTCTTGGGTTTCGGCGGGAGCGGGGGGTCCCTAAGCCGCCCTGGGGACCCCGGTGCTGCCCTCGCCCCCAGCCCGGGCTGCAAGGGGCCCCTCGGGGGAATGCGGAGCTCCACAGGGTCCCCTTCCAGCCGGGCTGATCCGGGCGCCGGGGCTGCTCCGGGAGCTCCGTGCCCACCCCTGGGGATAAAGGGTGGAGCGAGCGCTGTTGTCCCCATCGAGGGCAGGTGACATTCCCTGGGCTGGTGGCATTCCTTGGGACAGCCAGCCTGGCAGGATCAGTGCCAGCAGCAGCATCCCCACGGAGCCCTGGGATGCACACGCCAGACCCCTTCCCACTCCCTGCGACCCCCCAAAAACAGGGACAGACCCACCTGGGAGCCCCACAGGGGTGACAAGGGGGTCGGTGGTGGCTCTCCATGGCAGACGCCAGATCATCCTCAGTCTTCCTGCTCCCCCCGTGGCAACCTTGGCTCCCAGCAGCTCCCACAGCCCCAATTTAGACGATTTTGGACAATCTGGAGAGAAGTCATAATACTGCTATTACAGTAATAACAACGCTTTTAGGGACATTTGTATTTTTTGTCATATTCTCTCTTTTTTTAACATAAAAGAAGAGACTTACATGCCTGGGGAAGAGGTGGCAGGGCCAGGGCTGTGCCAAGCCGGGTGCCCCCCACGGCCCCTCGGGCACCCCGCTTTTCCAGGCTGGATTCCTCGTCCGCGGTCGGGCTCCCCGGGGGTTTGTGTGTTCATTTTTAACTCTAGAGCTCGTAGCCGTGATCTTGTTCAGGTTCTCTCTTCTTCATGTGACGGTAACATCCAACTGGTGTGTAAAATAAAGAAAAACAGGAAAAAAAAAAGATTAAAAAAAAAAAAACAAACAAAAAAAAAAGAAAAAAGAAGATAAAAAATCCATTAAAGAGCCCGGCCTGGCCCGGCTGAGGAGCGGCTGGAGTGGGGGGTGCCCAGCTGGCAATGCCAAGGGTGGGGCACAGAGGTCGAGGCGTCTCCTTTGAAGAATCCTATTTTTGGGGAGAGGGGCCCCTCGTTTTCTGGAGGCAGCCCCTGCTCTCAGTAATAAAGGACAGTCAGTAACTGCCAGCGTGAGTCATCTGTGGGATTGGGGAAAGGCAGGGGGTGGATCCTGGGGTGGGAATGGGGTGAGCACCACAGCTGAGTTGGGTGGGCATCCCCTTGGCACTAAGCATCCCCCTCCCACAGTGTTATCCCCCCAGACCTGAGCATACCCACAGAGTTATCCCATCCATCACTGAGTATCCCCCACCCCAAACTCTGGGATCCTTCCAGGATTGGGATCCCCATGGGGGCTTCAGAAACAACAGGGATCCCCGCAGCCTGCTTGGAGCCAAGCGAGCTCCCGTCCCATCCAGGTCTGGGCTGAGTTCCTTGGCATGGGATAGGGACTGGAATGTGGCTCCAAAGAGAAGGAAGAGACAGGGAACCATATCTTGTGTCCTGGTGCCATGGAAAAGGCACCGGTGGCTGCTAAATAATTCACGGAATGCTGGTCTTGAATAAATAAATGAAACTCCAAACGCAGGGATGGCAGAAGGGCCATCCATGTCCTCCCTGCACACGATAAGATCCCTCTGGATCCACCTTTCAGGCCCCGGGATGCAGAGTTGGAGGTGGCAGCAGGGGACAACACTGTCCCCTTGCCACCTGCACCCTGGTGGAGGGGAGGTGGCTGCTGCTCCACCTCCAGCTGAGCCAAACCTGGCAATTTTGGCATTCCCAAGCTGCCAACAGCATTGATGCCACCAGTCCTGGCTCTGCCTGGGCTCTTACACCAACGCCGGGCTCCTTTTATCCTCCCAAACCTTTGCAAGTGCAGCGGTCCCGGCGCTCCTGTTGCAGGGATGCGCAGCGATTCCCGGTCCCGTTGCTCTGTGCTGGCAGGCAGCGGGAGCAGATGGAAATAGCAGCGTGATCCCAGCTGCGGAGAGGCCACAAACCGTCGCACGCGGGGCCGGGAGAGGAGGCAGGGATATATATAGGGACAGACGTATGGATGATGCACTGCCGGCAGCGGGGACTCGCCGGTGCCAGCGGCCCCAAAATACTCGAGCGGAGCCGGAATCTGTCAGATTCCCACTGACTGCGGCAGCTCCTGGTCCTGGTGTCACCACCATCGTCACCGGTGCCTGGATCCCGACCCAGCTCCTTGGGAAAAGCTTGAGAAAAGGCTGCAGAGAGGGAGGACCCCTCTACCCCAGGTGTCAGAGCTCCTGGATCTGATCCCAGCCATGGGGACAGGCTGGTGGCATCCAGAGCCACCTGCATCCCAATTCCTGCCAAATGGGTGGGCTGACAGGGATCTGCATGGAGCTGGTGGCATCAGATCTTGCCCACATCAGGGGCTTGGAATGCTGAGGGTCTCTGCCAGGGTCAGCACCCTCGGGATCATGGATAATTCCTTGCTAATTAGCAGCACTGTCTTCCCAGATAAAGCATGAAGGGCTGGGAGACACCCAGAATTCCAGGAGTGTGTTTCTGGGATGTCATGGAATCCTGGGATGCTCTGCCTTACAGTGATGGGTACCTGGGTGGGAAAAGGGATTGACAGCCTGCACCTATTGGGAAAACCTGATTCAAAGTTCCTGCTAAGCCCCACATCCCTGAAATTACCCCAGAGGAGCTGGCACGGACAGCTCCTGCACATCCCGCAGCTGAGGAAGTTCCACGTGTCCAAAATAGCCGTGGTTCCTGCTGTGGAATGGGAAGCGGCAGGAAAGGCCGGCAGCATCGCCCTGCAGTGCCGGAGAGGATGTGGCAGGAGCTCTGGCTGCCTCCCAGCCCCAAACCCAAATCCACGGCCATTAAAAGCGGATGTGTGGTTTGAAACCTCCAGCGAGCTGCAGACCTCGGATCCCCAAGCTTTCCACCACACGGGCTCAGCTCAGAGATGGATGGAGGGAATCAGGATTCCTTGGATGTCCAAAATAAGAGGAGCTGGTGGTTGCACACCAGGATATGTCACTTGGTTTTAGGGGATCCCAAATAAACCCTTCCCTGAGGCTGGTCCCCATCACTTTTCTCTCACAACAAATTCCTTGGATTTGTGCTTTTTATTGCCTGCGTTTGGTCCAAGAGGCACTTGGAGAGAGGAAGAGGAAGGATAAGGTGTCAGCCCTGGGTCTGGTGCCCGTTTTGGGACAGACAATGTCAGGGATGAGCCTCCTCTTCCCACAGAGGCAAAACCCTGTCCAGGTTGGAGACAGGCAGTGCTTAGACCCAGGTGGGATTTCCATCGGCTCTTTCCCAAACTGGATGGCCAGGAGGAGCCCGGTGAAAAATTCTCTCCCCCAGCCCAATTCCCGCAGCAGGATGGGGTTCTCAGGGCCTTTGTTCCCAAAGCTCAGAGCTCTCTAGGATGATGGGATCCATGGAATGGATGCATCCAGCATTGCTTTCTCCTGTGCTGCCCATTGGGACAGGAGTAAAGGATTTTCAGAGGTGGAGGAGTGGAAATGTCCTTGTTCTCGTGGGGTGGCAGTGTGGGATCAGCACACAGGGAAGGAGGCTGTATCCCAATCCAAGGCACCCTGGAGTAGGCGGGGTGCTCTCAGGTGGGATAACCACTGGGATCCACGAGCCCTGCCAATCCAGGACACAATGCTGCTGTCCCAACAGGATAAGGCTGATCCTCAGATCGTCGGTTTTCCTTTGTGGAGGCTGTGAACTTCCTCCTTTCCCAGCCCTAGATGGGAATTCCCTGGGAGGCAGGTGGAGGCTCTGCACCCCTTCAGGGGGCAGCAGCTCACGTTTCCTCAGGAGATCCCGTCAGGGCCGCGATTTCCCCCTCCCCATCCTCCGGCCCATCCTCGGGGGACACCGGGGCGGCCTCTGTGCCCTCCTCCTCCTCCTCCTCCTGGCGCTGCAGGCTCTGCAGCCGCTCCTGCCGCGCTTCCATGTATTCCTGCGCCCCGTCCCCCACCAGCTGCACCTCATCCCCGACACAGGGCGGCTGCCGGACGGGATTGTGGTCGTAGGACAGGAGGCGCAGGGAAGCGAGGCCGCTGAGGTCCGGGAAGCTGGCGATGCGGTTGCGATCCAGGTCGAGGACGCGGATGTGATCCATGCGCAGCAGCACGGGCGGGAACTCCTGGAAGCGGTTCCCGTAGAGCCAGAGCCCCCGCAGGCCGGCCATGCGGGGCAGCGCCGCGGGCAGCCGGCACAGCCGGTTGTCCCCCAGCTGCAGGCTGCGCAGCTCCGACAGCTGCAGCAGGGCGCGGGGGAAGTGCGCCAAGAAGTTTCCCTCGATCCAGAGGCAGCGCAGGCTCTGGAGCTGGGCGAAGGAGGGCGGCAGCCCCTGCAGCCCGTTGCGGCCCAGGTACAGGTGCGCCAGGTGGGGCAGGTCGCACACGGCCTCGGGCACCTCCATCAGCTCGTTGCCGTCCAGGGCGAGGGTCCGGAGGTGCTGCAGCTCCGCCAGCTCGTCCGGGACCTCCCGCAGCCCCGCGTCGCTCAGGTAGAGCTTCCGCAGCCCCTGCTGAGCCCACAGCTCGGCCGGGACCTGCCGGCCCCGCACCTCCAGCCGCTGCTCGACGCCGTCGGGGCCCTCGGCGGCCGCCATCCGGGCCCCGCGGCCCGAGGAGCCGCCGCTGCCCATCGCTGACCGGGACCGGCACCGGGACCGGCACCGGGCCCGCCAGGGCGGCGGGGGGGGGGACGCCGTGGCCATGGCAACGCGCAGCAGCCAATGGGAGCCCGCGCCACCGGGTACAGGCCCCGCCCCGCCGCTCGCGCCCAGCGAGGCCACGCCCACAATTTCATTCATGCCCCGCCCGCCGTTCCCACGCCCGCCCGGCCCCACTCCCGTGCGGCTCGTCCCGGCTCCGGCCCCACACCAGGCAGGGCCCCCTCGCACCTCGGCATTCCCAGCCCCTCTCCCAGCAGCCTGGCACCAGCGTCCTCACCCTGAATTCGGTGTGAGGCCCTGAGTTGAGTGTGGGGTCCCTGGGCTGGGTGGGAATCTCTAACTGGCAGGAGGGGCTCCCTGAGCTGTGCGTGGATGCCTTGACGGGGTGCGGGTCCCTAAACTCGTGGAGAGCCCCTCTGTGATTCCTCACATCCCCTGGGACCCTGTCGGGAGCCACTCCCTGGGGCACAGATCCCATTCCCCACGGCCAGGGAAGATATGGATGAAGCCTCTCCAAGTGCCCCCCGTGCCATGGCTGCCCACCCTGCAGGGTCCTTCCTCCTCCTCATCCTCCTGCTTCCCACCACAGCCCTGCCCAGATTTTCCTGCCGCAAATGAGCTGTGTCATCCCAAAGCCGGCTCGGAAAGCTGGAAAGCCGGGCTCGTACAGCCCTCCAGCGGCAGCTAGCCAGGTGACATCCCCCGACCACCCAAACCCCTCCTGCCAAGCCTTGGGGATGCAGGAAACCCCCAACATGAGGGAGCAACCCAAGGGCATCACGCAGGGTCTTTATTCCTCCTACGGGGATTTGGGAAAAGCCCAGGATGGGATTCCCAGGACGCAGCAGCACTTTTTGGGGGGTCACGTCAGGGGGTCATCGATGCGCCACAGGTTGGTGGGGCGGTTGTTGGTGCTGAAGCCACTGGGACTCGGGATCTGGATGCCCTCCACAGACCTCGGGGCCCAGGTGGTTGGAGTCTGTGCCCACCAGCCTGGAAAATCCAGGAGGGATTGGTGAGGGGGTGCCACTCCTCCTGGGGGATGCAATGCCCCCACAAACTCACCTGGTGCTACGGGGGCCAGCGGCGAGAGCTTGTTCAGGAATTTGTTGTGGACAGTGCTGTAGGTCAGTGGCTTCTGTGGGATGCAGTGGGTTGGGAGCCTGCTTCCTTGGGAAAAGGGATGGGGACAGGGGACACGGCTGGGCTGCACCCACCTTCACGGCAATGACTCCCTTGGGTCCCACTCGGAGCTCCGGGGGGGCGAAGGGGGCAGGGTGGCCCATGGCAGGCTGGGGGTGTGGGGGGACACAGGGATGAGATCCTGCTCATTCCCACGCCCAGGCAGCTCCCAGGGCTGCCTCAGAGCCCACTGGGAGCGCTGGGACAGGCTGTCCCCTGCCCTTGCCACCCCATCCCTTTGCTTACAGTGCTGCATATGGCAGGAAAGGAATCCATCCGACCACCACCGACATCAAGCTGTGGGATAGGAGAAGTGTCCCCTGGGGTGCTGAGGGGTGGGGGGCACAGGGGACACGGTGGGGACGGGGCTCACGGGCTGCTCTGGCAGGGTGAGGTCACTCCTCGGCGCGGTCCCGGCGCAGCCCGACAGCTCCGTCACCCTCGGTGGGACATCTGTGGGGAGCAGATGGAGCAGGGATGTCCCCCGTGCCCCCAGGCCTGGCATTACCTGGATACACCTCTCCCATTGTGTCTGAGGGGGGCAGGGGCTCTCCAACACTCCCAAAACCTCTAGAGGTCTGACCTGACACTGACATCCCAAAATCCCTAGAGCTGGACGTGGCTCTGGGACCATCAATAATCCCAAAACCTTCCTGATGTTGGAGCCGGACCTGGAACCCCCAGGGCCTCAAATCCTCCTGTGGATGGAGGTTTCCTAGGAATCCTAACACCCCAAAATCCTCATAAGGACAGAGCTTTCCCTGGGATCACCAAGACCCCAGAATCTCCTGGGAATAGAGCTTTCCCTGGGATCACCAAGACCCCAGAATCTCCTGGGAATAGAGCTTTCCCTGGGATCTCAACACCCTAAAACCCTCCCCCTAAGGCTGGAGCTTTCCCTGGGATTGCCAAGACCCCAAATCATACCTGGCTTGGCAGGACTGGCACAGTGGCTCTGGGTGCCGTATTCCCCGGATGCATTCGGGGCTCTCACCTCCCCGAAACGGAGGTGGGAAAAGGAGAAGCCGGTGGGATACGGACACTGTGGCTCATCCACGTGCTCGGGCAACATCCTTTGGTAATCCGGGCGCCCGAAGACCTTGAAGTCCTCGGAGGTGGTGGACACGTCGGTGTCCTGGCTGCGGTGGGAATGCCCGTGACGGAATGATCCCAAAACGTGACCCCAAACTCCCGGAGCAGGGACCTACCGCTCCACGTGAGGGAAGATCAGGGATTTGAGCGCCGAGTAGTTGTTGACAACGTATCCTGAGCCGGTGTGGACGCCGAGGAGGGGCCGGATGCTCCTGTCGCTGGGGGGCTTGATCCCCCAAATTCGCCCCTCCCTCGGCTTTCGGGGTGAGCCCGAGCGCCGCTTCCCGAAGGCCGCCTCGTAGGTGGTGACGTAGGAGCCCAGGGGCCCCGAGCGGGGGCCCCTCACCATGGGGAACCCCGTCCCCAGTCCCGCGGCGGGCGAGTCCTGCGGCAGGGACGGCATCCTGGCTCTGGGAATGGGGCCCTGGCGGCGGGAATGGCCCGAGGCACGGCGCTACGCCATGGCTGGAGGTGCCCTGGAGGTGCGGGGCCTTCCCAGCGGGCCCGGAACCTGCGGAATGTGCCCGTGGAACGCGACTCTATCTCCCGGCAACCGCGACAACAGGGACCTCCCGGGAGGCTGTCAACAACCTCTGGAGGGCACCGGGAATGTCCCGCTCCAGCCCCCGCCCCGGGGTGGGGTCACCTCCTGGGGGAACTGGGAGAAGGGGCAAGTGGAAATTGGGAATGTCAGTGAGGTGGCATGTGGCAGATTGAGGTGGGAATGTCACCGAGGGCCCGAGCCCGATGTCACAAAGCAGGAGAGGGGCAGGGCCAGCAGCCAGGCAAGGCCAGGGTTTTATTCAGCATTCCACGAGTGTCCAGAGGCTGCTGGGAGAGGAGGAAAACCACAGGGAAGGTGGAAACGCCAGTCCAGAGCCCCACGTCCCCGTGCTGCTCCAGGGAACGGGGACAGAGGCGTCCCCTCCCTCAGCGTGGTGGCTCAAACAGATATTCCAGGTCCGGCTGCCGGAGCCTCTGCTCCCTGTTCCTGTTTTTGGCAAATTCCCTCAGCATGGCCATCACATCGGTGTCGAATTCCGCCGGCGTGGGCTTGGCTTCTGAGGGGAAGAGAGGGAAGGCTCAGCTCTGTGCCGGCCCCAGGTGCCACCCCGGCGTGCCAGGCTGTGCCACACGTACCAGTGGCCCAGTAGTAAATGTCCCAGTCGTTGCTGGGCTCGTTGATGAGGCGGTCGTAGCGCGTCAGCTGCTCCTCGCTCATGCGCGCCAGGTTCTCCTTGGCAAAGAGGCTGGGGAGGGATGGATCGGGATGAGCGGGAGGTGAAGGAAGAGCTGGGATCTGAGAACCAGCTCAAAAAATGGGATCCTGGAAAACACGGACCCCCAGCCCGCTCTCCCTCAGCTCAGCGGGTGGGAAAACACCTGCACAGCACTGCCAGAGGAGCTCTGGAATCTCCAGCCCTGGAATCCCCTTATCCAGCCTGGTCTGCTGGGAGGTGTCCCTGCCATGGCAGGGGGTGAAGCTGGATGTCCCTTCCATCCCAAACCATTCCAGGATTCCATGAGCTCGTTCATATGAGATGCTGGAAAGGGATTCTTTCCTAAGAGGGTGGTGAGGCCCTGGAATGGACTTCCCAGAGAAGCTGTGGCTGCCCCATCCCTGGAAGTGTCCAAGCCAGGTTGGACAGAGCTTGGAGCAACCTGGGATAGTGAAAGGTGTCCTTAAGGTCCTTCCCCACCTGAATCTTTCCAGAATTCCACAATTCTATGTCTCTTATCTCTCCTTCAATCCCAAAATCCGACTGGCCTTGTGCTCACATGTCCCAGGATTTACATACACCCTTCCCAAAGGATTCTGGTTCACTGAGCTCTCCCAGCTCTACTCCATCACTGGATCCTGAAACAGCAAGATCTTGGAGCAACTCATCCCACGGATTTTTGCACTACCTCAGTAATCTCCTCCCTGTGAATGGAAGGACCTGGAATCCTGGGAGCCAAGCCCACCTGAGCAGGATGCAGTTTTCCAGCATCCCCCTTTTCCTGCTCTCGTACAGCAGCCGGGCTCTCTTGGTGTCCAGCGGCTCGTCCGGACGCTCCTGCCAGGGGGGCAGGGGGATCTCCAGCACGTCCTTCCCGGAGTCCGTGGGGGAATCGCCCCGGTAGCCGCGCTGCGGGACCAGCGCCCGCAGGAGATGCCGGCGCAGGGAGCAGAGCTGGAGGGAACAGGGAAAGCACAGGGATATCAGTGCCTGCACACAGGGACCGCTCCAAATCCTACTGGACAGGACTCCCAATCCCAGCCCCCCAAACCGCGCTGCCCAGACCCCATGAATCCCCCAGATCTCCATTTTCCCCCCAAAATCCCCTTCTGCCTGCTCAGACTCTCCACCTTTTTTTGTCTCCTCTTTTCCTCCCATCCTGCCTCTCCCCCAAACTCACCCCTTTCCTCTCCTTTTCCTTCCCCCTCTCTCCCCGCTTTTTCCCCTTTCCTCCCGTTTTTTCCCCCTTCCCCCTTTCCCTTTCTTTTCCCCCCTTCCCCAACATTTTTTTCCTTCTCCTTCCCCGTTTTACCTTTTCCCTCCCACTTTAACCTGCTTTTTCCCGCTCTCCCTCCTTCCTCTGCCCTTTCACCCCCTCCCCTTCCCTTTTCCCTCCCAGTTTTCCCCCCTTCCCCCCCCAACCCTGGCCGCCGCCATCTTGCCGCGCTCCTCCCCGGCCACGCCCCCTGGCGGCTCCGTGGGGCGGGGCGTGCCGGAAGTGGGCGTGGCCCCGCCCGGAAGTGGGCGCGGCGGCGCTGGCGGTGAGCGCGGGGGCAAAAACGGGGATTTTGGGGGGACACGGGATTTGGAGGGAAAGGGGATTTTGGGGTGGCACAGGGGTTTGGGGAGCAGAGGGGATTCAGGGGGACACAGGGATTTAGGGGGGACATGGGATTTGGGGGGACACAGGGATTTAGGGGGGAGAGGGGATTTGAGAGGCAGAGGGCATTTCGGGGGGGAGAAGGGATTTAGTGGGGCAGAGGGATTTGGAGGGAGGAAGAGGGGCTTGAGGGGACACAGGCACTGGGGTGAGGAAGTGGGATCCGGGGCACGCAGGGATTTGGGGGGACCCCCCCGCGGGTCCCCAGGGCCTCGGTGACCCCGTGCCCCCCATTCCCAGAGCACCTTCCGTGTCCTGGCTCCGCCCGGTCCCAGCCCGGGCTCCCGCTTTTCCCGCCTCTGGAAATATGTCCGAGGGAGTGGATCTGATTGACATCTACGCCGACGAGGAGTTCACCCAGGTGAGGGCTGGGATGGGGGTGCAGGTCCCCCCGCTTTCCTTTGGGAAGAGATCCCAGTGTCCTGCAGCTCATCCCAGTGTCCTGCAGCTCATCCCGGTGTCCTGCAGCTCATCCCGGTGTCCTGCAGCTCATCCTGGTGTGGCTGGGAGAAGGGAAGCATCGTTCCCGATCATTCCCAAATCTCGGTGGCTGCCACCTCCAGCTGTGGTTAAAGGGTTTCCCTGTGGGTTGTGACACGTGGCTGGTCACGGAATGTTTGGGATTTAATAGCTTAGCTGTGTCCTGCTTGGAAAAATGAGAAATCCCAACTGGAAGAGGCACTTCCAGGGAATTACACAGTGAGGGGATACCAGGAGCCAAATCCATGGGATCACCCAGGCTGGGAATCTGTGCAGGAGCTCGCTGTTCCTGCGCTGCTTGTCCCATCCCAGGAATATCTGGGATTCACAGGAGGAAATGATGAAGGAAGGGGGTGTTGGAGAAGCAGATTTTAGGGAGCTCATGGATGTGGGAAAGCAAGTGCGAAGGCAGATGTTGGAAAATTCGAAACTGCCATGGAAAGCTTGTGGAGAGAAGTTGGCAAGAGGAAAAGTCATGGAAACTGGAAGCAAAGCACCCGGAGGAAGGAATCACCATGGAGAAAGGAATTCTTGAGAACTCCTGGAGTGATCAGGAGAAGCTTCTTCTGGTTATTGGGTGGGAATACCCCATGGACTCTCCTGGGAAGACCAAGTGCATGGAGGATTCTCCAAGCTGGAATGGTGATCCAGGCCAGTGACTCTGGCATGTTCCTCCCCCTGGGATGTGTGGCAGAACACCTGGAATTCATCCATGCCAGGATCAAAGCAGTGGGGAGGTGCTGTGGTGTCCCTGTGGCATTCCAGGGATGCCAGTGTAATTCCAAATCCCACTTTTCCACGTGGTGATTCCCACTAACAGTGCCCAGTTTCACCCCTGTGCACCTCAACTCAGCATGCAGGAGAATCCCTAAAATCTCCCAAGCTGAATCCCCTAAGTAGCAGAACTGAGGGATTCCTAGGGATTCCTCCTCTAGCCCCTCCTTCCTATTTTTGGTCTTGACTTTCTGAAACTTCCAGGCGGGAATCTTCCAGCCTTGGGCTGTGTCCAAAGGCTCCTGGTGGAGGTGGGAGCGTGGGAGTTGGATTAACCAAACACTTGAGCTTTTTTGGGAAATGAACACAAAACTACAGCTCCCTTTTCAAATCATTCTTTTATCAGCTCCAGGAAAAGAGCTGGATGCAAAAGCTCAGGGAGGGGGGAAATGGTTGGATTTTTGGATTCCCAGGTTTCCACGATCCTTGGAAAGCTCAGTGCTGAGCATCCTTCTCTGTCCAGCTCCCGAGAGGATGTTTGCAATTCCCTGACCCTCAGGCTGTCTCCAGCAGAAAACATTGTCCAAACTGCCTGGAATTGAAAGTTTGGGAACAGAACCTCTGGTTTTATGGCACACCAGCTCCTGTGGGATGGATCCTCATGGAGTGATTTTGTAGGATGAAACACTCGGCACAATCTGAACAAGGAACTGGGATCCATAGTAAACACAGCACTTGCTGGACATTCCAAATGAAATACAGCCTGGGGCAGAGTGGGAATTGGGAGGCAGATCCAGCTGGAATTCCCAGCTCTGGAGCTTCCTGAGCTTCCTCTGCCAAAGGGACATATCCAATGTGTGGGAGCTCCTACCCTAAAAAGGGCTGTTTTCCCAAAAAAGAGGAAGTTTGGGGTGATGAGCATGGTTTGAGGGGGGTGTGCAATTCCCAAGTTAGATTTTTGGGATGCATGTGTTGCTAAGGAGTGATAGGCTCATCCCTGCAGGGCATTTGGTTTTCCACCACTGAATTCTTGCCCTCCAAATTGGGAATTTCTTCCTGGTGGCAGCAACAGGGTCTTGTCCTGTTGTGTGGGATCCAAGTGGGCTGGTCCTTGGAATGTGCTGGAGCTCAGTGGGGATTTAGATGAGATATTGGGAAGAGTTTCTTCCCTGTGAGGATGGTGAGGCCCTGGAATAGATTTCCAGGGAAACTGTGGCTGCTCCATCCCTGCAAGTGTTCCAGGCCAGGTTGGACAGGGCTTGGAGCAACCTGGGATACTGGAAGGTGTCCCATGGCAGGGGATTGATCCTTAAGGTCCTTATTCCAACCCCACCCATTTCATGATTCCATGAAATCAGAGCCCATCATCCTGTTTTTTGGGATTGCCCAGGCAAGGGGTGGCTGTAATTCCCAACTGTGCATAGACCCAAACCAAGTGATTTGGGCCTTAAACCTTTGGACTCGGCTTGGAAATTCCACTTGGGAATTGGGACAGCAGGTTTGGAAACAGCAAAGAAGGCTTCCCAAGCCAGGATCTCATGATGTTTTCCCAGCAGGACCCGGAGCTCAGTAATGCTGACCAGATGGATCTCTACGACGACGTGTTAGCAGCCAGCTCCCAGCCCCAGGAAAAGCGTTCCAGCAGCTCGGAAGCGCCTCCGGAGATCCGTCAGGAGCCGTCTCCCAAGCCCAACAGCAAACCCCCAGCCATCCTGTACACCTACAGCGGGCTCCGGAACAAGCGGGCTGCTGTCTACGTCGGGAGCTTCTCCTGGGTGAGTTCATCTTCCTGGGAATTCGGGATTCCTGGGGAATCTCTGAGGGGCTGCTGGGCTCTCTAGAGGAGTGGTAGGGATTTTGAGGGGCCTGCTCCTCCTCAATCCTGAGCTGGTGTCCTGAGCTTTATTGTGAACTGGGATTGGCTTTGTGATCCTCAGGGGAAAGGGATTTGTGTCCCTGAGGAGCTTCTGGGCTTTGAGGTGCTGCTCCTGAGTTGCCTTCTCCTGTTCAGGGATGCAGGAACAGTTTTGGGAGGGCTCTGTCTTGTCCGGAGAACTTGTCACTGTTACCCATTCCCAAGGCTTGTTCTGGATGATTTTAAGCTCCCTGAGGAAGTCTGGGGGTGACACTCCTCAGGTGGGTGGGGGGACACTAAGGACAGACATGGATACCAGCCTGTTCCCTCTGCCCTCAGTGGACGACTGACCAGCAGCTGATCCAGACCATCCGCTCCATCGGAGTCTACGACGTGGTGGAGCTGAAATTCGCGGAGAACCGAGCCAATGGCCAATCCAAGGGGTGAGAGCCAGTGGAATTTCGGGTGGGAATGATGGGAGCCAGGCCCTCATTGCCACTTCCATTGTTTTGTGGAGGGTGAGGGAGCAGCTGGCGCTTTTCCTGCCTGGCACAGGGAATTCATCCCAAAGAGCATGGAAGAGTGAGGAGGGGGTGTGGAACAGTGGGATGGGATCAGGAGGAAGGTCTGGGAGGTCTCTGCAGTGGGTTCAGGACTCAACCTCCCTCTCTCCCGCGCAGGTACGCGGAGGTGGTGGTCGCCTCCGAGAACTCGGTCCATAAACTCCTGGAGCTGCTTCCCGGGAAGATCCTGAATGGAGACAAGGTGGAGGTGAGGCTGGCGACCCGGCAGAACCTGTCGCAGTTCGAGGCTCAGGCTCGCAAACGTGAGTGCGGCGCCGGTGTGCGGCGGGCGGGGGGTTCCATCTCACACACATCCCAAATCCCCCCGGATCAGCTGCCAGGCCCAGCCCAGCGAGCCCTCGGGATGGGGGGAACCCTGCCAGGAGCGTCTGGGGGTTGTTTTTCCCATTCCTGAGCCGGATTAGCTCCTGACCCGAGTCTTTATGATCCCCTTTTAGGTGCTCCCACACTGCGAAGATCCCTCGTAGCCTCCTCCTCCTCCTCTCCAAACTGAATGGGCTTAAGCTCTTCAGGCTCTCAGCATAGCTAAGACCCTCCATATCTATTAGTAGCTCCTCTCTGGATCTGCTCCAGAATTTTTCCATCCCTGCGGAGGTAAGGTGCCCAACACTGGAGGAATATTCCAGCTGGGGCCTGGCCGTGGGCATCCCTCAATGGCAATAGGTGGTCCTGGCCTCACTCCGCAGTGATGCGACGGGATCCTCAGGGATTGTCCCGGCAGGAGCGTGTCCGAGGAGGTCTTGGCCAGCTCTGGTCCTTGTAGATCCCTTGGCATGTTTTGTGCAAGGAAAACTTCCCCCTTCCCAGCAGAGTTGCTTTACTCCCTTCCTTTGGCTCAGGTGCCTGAGGGGATCGGCTGCTTGGTGCTTAGGCTGTGTCCCAACTTGCCCTGCAGTTTTGGTGGAGCAGGGAGTGTTCCCTGGGCCGAGTTCCGGCTGCCCCCAGGGCACAGCGGAGCTCCCATGCAGCCTTTTGGCATCCTGGGAGCCGTGGCTCCTGTCACACCCCTTCTGTCTCATCCTCAGTGCCTCTTTGGATAGAGCAAGGCTTCTTGACCCTCTTGGATTGCTGAGTTTTCCTTCCTCTAGCAGCAGCTCCGTTGCTGTCAGCACTTGGGTTCTGTCCCCTCGTGTTCCTCCACGCTTGGGCCTCTCCAAATCCATGTGTAAATCTCAGGCTCTCCGGGTCTTTGGATGTCTTTGGGGATCTCTCACCATTCCTTGTGGCTTTTGGCTCCTGTCCCTGTGACCTGCCTGTCCCCAGGGCACTGTGCGGGGTCTTGCTGGAAAGCTGGGCCCCTCTTGGAAAAACACATGGAAGCGGAGGCTATGTGTGGCCAGCTGGATCTCTCTCTGGGCACCTCCAGCCCTCCAGGGGTGGGAGGAGGAGGAGGAGCAGGAGGTCTCAGAGACCCAGACACCCTCCAGCTGCAGCTCACAAGCTCTTTCCCCGTGCCACTTCCAGGTGTGCCGCCACGGGCCCACTCCCGGGATTCCATGGATGCAGTGGACGGCCGGGCGACGCCGACAGAGAATGCGCTGCCCCCCGCCCGCATGGAGAAGCCCCCCTCGGTCCTGCCCTTCTTCAGCCGCCCCCCCGCGCTGCCCCTCATGGGGCTACCCCCTCCTCCCATGCCCCCTCCGCCTCCCCTCTCCTCCGCTTTCGGAGTCCCTCCGCCTCCTCCTGGAATTCCCTACCAGCACCTGCTGCCGCCGCCACCCCGGCTGCCCCCGCCCCTGGCCGTGCCCCCCCCCGGGGCTGTGCCCCCCGCCCTGCACCTCAATCCCGCCTTCTTCCCGCCGCCCACCGCCGCCCTGGGACCCCCTCCGGACACCTATGGCAAGGCCATGGCTCCATACAACCACAGCAGGTGAGCCGGGCGGGAATGGGGTTGGGATGCTCAGGGAGGATCCCGCTGAACCCCTGTTCCCACTGTGCCAGCAGCCGGGAGCTGGGCCCGCCGATGCCGGCCGTGAGCGAAGGCGAGTTTGAGGAGATCATGAACCGCAACCGCGCCATCTCCAGCAGCGCCATTTCCAAGGCGGTGTCCGGCGCCAGCGCAGGTACTTCCCGCGTCCCTCGTGTCCCCCATCCCGGGATGGATTCCCGCTCCTGACCCCCTGCTCCGCTCCCCCAGGGGATTACAGCAACGCCATCGAGACGCTGCTCACCGCCATCGCTGTCATCAAGCAGTCGCGCGTGGCCAGCGACGAGCGGTGCCGCGTCCTCCTCTCTTCCCTCAAGGATTGCCTGCATGGAATTGAGGCCAAATCCTATAGCAGCAGCTCCAGCAGCAGCTCCAGGTATCCCCCTGGATCCAGAGAAGGGGATCCGCCCTGCAGGTGAGCGACTGAAAAATCACTCTTTGGGTTTTGTCTCTTCTTTTTCCAAAGGAAAAGACACCGATCCCGGGAGCGCTCTCCCAGCCGGTCCCGCGAGAGCAGCCGGCGGCACCGGGACCTGCTCCACAGCGACGATCGGCACGAGGATTATTTCCCGGAGCGGAGCCGGGAGCACGAGCGGCATCGGGACAGGGACAGAGACCGGGACCGGCACCACTGAGACAGGTGGGAGGCTCGGGAATCCCCTGGAAGCGTGAGGGGTGAGGGAAGGGCACTCCCACCATTCCTCTCCTCTCCTCTCTCCCGACAGGAATTTGGCAGGAAGTGGTTTTTAATGGACTCTATCTCCTCACCTCGACCAGGATGCCGTGCCCGAGGCTGCTCCGCCCCATCCCGGTCCCTTCCTCGCCACCACAGCCCCCTCCGGGCGGGACCCCCGCCCGCACCTCGTGGCCTTGGGAATCCCCCCCACCACTGCTGCTGCTTCCTGGGGCCATCCCGCTCCGCTCCGTGGATACTCGGACCCAAAGAGAAATGGTGCTTTTATTCCATGGAGGGAGGTTTGTGAGCCCTTCCCAGTCTGGGGGGGAACGGAGGAGACGGAGCCCTCCCCGTGCAGCTTGGGGGCTTGGAGATGCACAGCTCCCGATCCTGGGATCAGGAGCCATGTGCCATCCTCTGGATTGCCTGGGGACACTCGCGTCCCCATCGCCCTGGTGGGACACTGTGCCACGCTCCTCCTTTGCCCCTTCACCCTCCAGGAGCTGGGAAAAAGGGGCTGGAGCTGGGTTGGGGGTCATCCTCTCTATCCCGACATTCCCCACAGCAGCATTCCCACCCAAACGGCAGCTCCGGCCTCTCCCGCAGAGCCTTCCTTGTTTTAGAGGAAGCGGAAGAGGCAGGGCAGGCTGTGACCCCCTTGTGTCCCCTCAGAATCCCAAGAAGGAGAGGCAGGGAGAGCCCAGGAGGGTCAGGATGAGCCGGGACACACTGGGTGACTTCCAGGGCTGGAATCACACTCAGGTGGGAAAACCCAGGCCCTGGAAGTCTTTTTAAGTTGAAATAACCCAAATTCAGGAAAAACCACCCTGATTTTCCCAAGCCCCACGAGGTGGGAGCACTCGGCAGGAGAGCTCCGGGTTTTTTTTTACTTACCGCCACAGATTTTTAGTTTCTTTCCAAATAGTGGAGGGGGAAAAAGATTCCCCCATAAATTGCAGAGCAAATCCCTGGAAGCCCCGGCGAGGCGCCGCCCCTCCTGCTCGCAGTGATTAGATTTGTCTTTGGATAGGTTGGAATTGTGTAATAAACTCAGATGACGTTGTCAGTCTTTTACACAGCGCTCCTGTTGCCTTCCTACGGTGGGATTTGGGATAATGAGGGATGGAAGGGATTTGGGGAGGTCTGTGCACCCGTTGTCCCTCACCCTCTTCCTCCTCCAGTGGGCTCCTGTGCTTCCCAAACTGGCTCTGAGGTGCTGGAAGCACCTGAGCGTTCCCAGGGGGACCTACATTCCTGGGCACCAAGTAAAAATAAATATTTATTGGAAAATAGTGAATTATTCTGGAAGATCATAGAAAATAAAAAGAGGGTTCTTCATACCTTGAGCTGGCTCAAGCTCTGAGGAGTCCGAGTGGATTGGAGAGTGGGAAAGGTGGGAGGGATATGTCCAGGGGCCAGTGAGTGAAGTGGGAAAAGGGAGGGGTGAATCCGTGTGGCAGCAGGTCCCTGCTGAAGTGGGAAGCAGGAAAAATGGGAGGGATGTGTCCACATAGAAGCAACAGAGTGGGAGGGATGTGTCCAGGTGGCACCAGGTGAAATGGGCAGTGGGAAAGGTGAAAACCTCCCCCTTCCCGGGGCTGGGGAGTGGAGCTGGCACGGGTGATGCTTCCCTGTGTCCCTGGGCCGTGTCCTCAGTAGGGATCCGTGCTGTGGAAAAGGACAGAGACGGGGATGTGTGGGTGCCAAACCAACCTGGCAGCTCCCGCGCCGGCTCCCCCAGTTCCTGGGATGCAGCACCTGGAGAAGGAGAGCAGCGCCAGGAAGCCCAGGAGCAGCTCCAGGCCGTAGAAGAGGAGCAGGATGGCGCTCAGGAACGCTTCCAGGCGCAGGGAATATGTCTGGAGCAGCAAGTAGTACACGGCCAGCACAGCTGCCGGCACTGTGAGTGCCAGGCTGAGGGACAGCGGCACCTTCCGCTGGCACAGGTTCCCCTTGGAGCCTGTGGGACACAGAGCTGGGATCAGATCGTGGAAATCATGGGAGGCTTTTGGGTGAGGAATTAAATGTCCCGTTCCCGTGGGCAGGGACACCTTCCTCTAGCCCAGGTTGCTGCACGCCCTGCCCAACCTGAACACCCAGGGATGGTCCTCGGGGGTGTCCCAGGACTCTGCACTCCCTGTGGAGCCTCTGGCATTCAGGGCCACTCACCGAAGAAGATGCGTGTGGCCTCAATGCCGAGGTAGAGGAGAAGCAGAACCACGTCCAGCACCAAGTTGGAGACGGGATAGGGCAGGAGCAGCACTGCAGGAAAAGCACCGCCCTCAGCACCACATTCCTGCCCGTCCCGGTGGCATCGGGAAGAGTTCCGGAGCGAAGGACTCACCTTTGTACACGAACACGAACGCTTCCAGGAGAAAATACGTGGCGCAGTACCAGCCGTTGAGGAAGAGCAGGACCTGCAGCGGAGCCGAGGAGCGATGGCGGCCTGAGGGGACACGGGGCGGCCATGAGGGGGGGCACGGGGCGGGCATGGCAGCGCGGCCCCCGGAGCCCTGCAGCGCCTTGGCCGCCCCCCTGCCTCCTTCCCAGCGCCGCTCCCAGCCCGGGTTCCTCCCGGTACCCCCCGTACCCTCCGGGATCCCCCGTTTCCCCCCGGTCCCGCTCCCACCCCTGGGCGCCATCTTCCATCTCCATGGGAACCGCCGCCGCCGCGCTCGCCCGCACGGGGGCGCCGAGGGCTAGGGCGCGGAGCGGGAGGGCGGAGCCGCTCTATCCCCCGCCCCTCTCGGTGGTTTGGCGGCGCGCGCGCTGCCGCTCTACCCGCACCTCTCTATGGCGGGAGGACCGATCGCTGCCGCGCGGGTTCGAATCCCGCTCCTTCCCAACCCCGCCCCCTCGTATCCATCGGGATAAGAATCCCACACCGGAACCGGGAATGGCCCCGTCTGGCGGCTGCAAGCGCAGCGCCGAGCTGGGTTACAGTGCAAGGAGTGCAGCCGTGACACCGGGTGGGCACAAACACCCAGCAGCCTCTGGAAAACACATCTGATTTATTCCTTCAGGGTTTCCAAAAACATTCCAGTCGCAACCACGGCCGTGGCCCTGAAGTGCAGGGACACCCCACAAGCCTCCCGCTGACTCCCAAAATCCCAAGGGCTGGTCCCCAGAGAAAGGATGAGCCGGAACCGACCCCCACGGAGCCAGTGGAGTGCAAGGAGATTCCAGGGGATCCATCAGCCACGGAAGTGGGCAAATTCCTTGCGGAGCCAGAGTGAATCCTGGTAGAAGAGGGGGTCTCCCAGATGCACAGCTGTCCGCTTGTAGAAGTAGCAGTAAAGCACGGCCGCTGCAGGGAATTTGGGGATGAGAGAGGGCCCCCAGCACCCCCAAGGGATGTGGGATCCCCACCCTGATCCTTGGATCCTTACCCAGCCTCTGGAAAACGAACAGGGTCTGAAGGCCTTCAGTCCAGATGAAGCGGCTGGAGTCACGCCAGCGCAGGTTCTGAGGGGGTTGGAAAACTGGGAATAACCCTTGGAGCAGCTTCCTTGAGCCCTCCCAGAGCCCTCACCCCATTCCAAAGGTTCTGAGCAGGATGGAGGGACATCAAGCCAGGAGTTACACCTGCAGAAGTTTGGGAAGCTCCCTGCCCCAAAGGTTAAGCAGCTCAGGGGATTTAGGCATTGAGCCCAGACCTATTCCGGCTTCAGACTGCAGATCCCTGCAAATCCCTGCAAATCCCCTTCCTGGACGGCGTGGGCAGCACCCGAGCAGCTGCTGTGGCTCCTGACCCCCAAAACATTCCCTGTGCTCCGGGGCAGCAGGATGGAGGGAACTCCAGGGGGTGTCCAGGGGATGGGAACTGCTCCATTGGGAAGGAGCTAGGAAGGAGTTTATTCAGGAAGGAAAAGAGGAAGGTGCTGCTGGGACAGATCCAGGAGCTGTGGGAAGGGAGGGGGCTGCCCCCAAGTAGAGGGATCAATCCCAGAAAAAGCAGGAGCTGCTAGCACAGGCTTTCCCTGGGGAAAGAGGATTTTCTGATGGGTCACGGCCCTTAGGGAATGAGCTGGGATGGGGCTGGGGCTGGGCAGGACCCTTCCAAGCCAACCACAGGGTCATGGAAGGGGAACATCCTCCACGGGACACCTTCCAGGGGGAGACCAGCACTGTGGGAAGCTGGGGGTCAGGGAAAAGCCCCCTGGGAGAATCCAGCAGCCGTGCCCACGCCACCCTACCATAATCCAGACGTGGAAGGAGATGCTGAGCGCCAGGTAGGCCGCGGAGAGCAGGATGGTCCCCTTGAACTTGTGGAAGAGGAGGTTGACCAATCCCGCCTGGAAAACGTAGGTGTTGAAGAACATGAGGAAGACGATGATGACATTGAAGACGACGGCGATGTCCTGGATGCTGCCGGGAGAACAGAGGGACTGTGGGCCCCAGGCTCTGCCGGGGGTGCTGCCCCACCTGGCCCACACTCACATGAAGAGCACGAGCTGCACGGCCGGAGCCGCGCGCAGCAGCTCCGAGAAGGAATTCACAAAGAGGTCGTAGGAAAGCAGCAGGAACTGCAGGAACAGCACCAGGCTGTAGTTGCTGGGCTGGAGCATTCTCCTCCCTGGGGCGTGGAGCCCTCAGCCCCAGCATTCCCAACGGATCATGGCGCTGGGGGGGCTCAGCAGGGCCTCTCCCGACATCCCAAACCTGCAGGGGGAACACAGGGGTTGGGGTGGATCCCAGAAACCAGGACAACCCAATGAGCTTTCCCCTGAAATCCACCCCAATGCCCATGTGAGGAAATCCAGGGATGAGTGAGACGTGCAGTCCCAAGAAGCAGTGTCCAAGCAGGTTATTCCTGGCTGTTCCCAGCTCCATGGGCAGTTCTGAGCAGGTTCGGGCATGTCCCACTCTGGGCACAGGGACAGAGGAGTCAGGAGAGACAGACGGAAATTTTTGGACACCGGAGCAGGTACAGCACTCGTGGGACACATATCCCACGGGAACAGCCCCCTCAGGGATCATCCTGGCTGGAGAGGGACGGAGGGGACAGGGATCCCGGCAGGAAAAGGGCTGTGCTGGGGCTGAATTCCCTGAGGGGGCACATGGTGACAGACGGGGGTAAAGGGGCTGGAAAAGGACGGAAAGTGGCCGGAAATATGGGGGAAGAAAGGCTGGACATGGGAGCGGGAAACTGACGGACATGAGAGGGGAAAGAGCTGGATACGGGGATGAAGAGATCCCTCTGTGCCCCTCCACATCCCGCGTCACTCCGTCCCCTCTCACAGCCACCACCGCGGAGCCCCCGCGCCCACTCTCGCCGCCCTCTCCCCCCGTCCCTGGCCGCCCCCCCGGTACGCCCGAGCCCCCCTGGGTGCCGGAGGTGCCGGTCCCGGGGGTCCCGCGGGGTCCCGGCCGTGCCCCCGCCCCGGGCGCTCACCCGCCGCCGCCATCTTGGTCCCCATGGAAACGGCCGCCAGAGCCGGAAGTGAAGGCGGAAGTGGAGGCTAGAGGACCCGCGGGGCCGCTCTGGCCGCCGCTCCCCTCTGTGGCAGCGCATTGGGGCGGGCGGGAAAACCATAGAGATGAGCAGGCAGAGCGGCGCTCGCCAAGATGGCGGCGCCCAGTGACGAGGAGGGGGCGGTGGGGCCCAGGTACAGCCCCGGGGTTGGGAGAGCCGGTGGGCGGCTCCGGGGTTGGGAGGGGCCGAGGGACCTCGTGGTGTGGGTTTGGGGGGGTGTCAGGGCCGGGCGTTTTGTTCCAGGTCTAGGGGAGCCGCAGGTTTGGGGGGGGCTGTGGAGTCACGTGTTCCCTATTTTTGGGGAGCCATGGCACCGAGTACCCCAGATTTGGGAGATCCGTGAGTCTCTGTGTCCCGGATTTTGGGGAACCATAGGGCCGCATGTCTCCACCCGTTTCCTGTCTCTGTGTCCCGTGAGGCAGCTGATTTGAGGGTGTCGGGACATCCCCGGTCCCCGGAGGGGACAGAAATACCCATTTCTGGGGGCGCATGCAAATCACATGCAAATGAGAGCGATCGGGTTTCTGCCAGGGGGACCATGACAGCTGACACCGAGAGCCCCTCGCTGCCATTCCCTGGAGTGCTGTGCCAGGGAATTCTGCTCTGCACGTCCTGTTCCATCCCTGGCCTCCTTCCCAGTGCAGGGCACAGCTGGACTCTGGTCACCCCCTCAGGGTTCCCGGTTCCCCTTTCCGTGGTTCCTCCTGGCGCTGCCGGAGAGCCCCAAAGGCACCGCAATCCTCCCCAGGTGCCACCATCCCGGATCCATCCCTGCCACCATTCCCAGGCCGGGAAGCAGCTGGGCCACCATCGGTGTCTGGGAAGCAGCTCCATCCCTGTCACCTTGCCCAGGCTGGGAAACAGCTGCCCCCCCACGCCCTCTAGGGCTCCCAGTTCCTCTTTCCGTGGCTCCTCCCTGGGACCGCATCCGGAGCCTGAGCCGGCTCCTCGCTCGCCCACAGGTGCCACCACCGCTCCTCGGCCATGCTGGACGTGCCCTTCCTGCCCTTCTGTGCCTTCCTGGGAGCGCTGGGACTGCTCTGCGTGGCCATGGTGGGCACCTGGTGCCAGCACTGGCGCGGGGGCTTCTCCCTGGACGGCAGCTCCCGGACGTTCAACTGGCACCCGGTGCTGATGGTGACGGGGCTGGTGGTGCTCTACGGCGCAGGTGAGCAAAGGGAGCGCGGGGATCCCGCCACGGCTCCTTCCTGACGCTTTTCCCCCCTCACAGCTGCCCTGGTTTACCGCATTCCCAACACGTGGAGCGGCCCCAAGCTTCCCTGGAAGGTGCTGCACGGCAGCTTGGCTTTGGGAGCGTTCGTCCTGACCGTGCTGGGGCTGGCGGCCGTGTTCAGCTTCCATAATTCCCAAGGGACGCCCAACATGTACTCGCTGCACAGCTGGATGGGGCTGGGAACTGTCCTGCTCTTCTCCTGCCAGGTGGGAATCCCTGCTGGATCCCTCAATCCCTCCGGCATCCCAAGTTTTCCACCCTCACCTTCTCTCCCCACAGTGGGCAGCGGGTTTTGGAGCGTTCCTGCTTCCCTGGGCTCCCACCTGGCTCCGGGCACTCTACAAGCCCATCCATGTTTTCTTTGGCTCCACCATCCTCATGCTGTCCGTGGCTTCCTGCGTGTCAGGAATCAACGAGAAGCTTTTCTTCAGCCTGTGAGAGTCAGGGGCGGCGGGGGTGGGCTTGGGAAGATCCCTCGCAGGGACAGGGGGGGCTCAGGATGTGGATTTGGGCTGGATATGGGAGTGACCAGCGCAGAGCAAAGGGAACTGAGCACTTCCTCAGGTGTGTGGCTCCCTGCACACTTCCCTGCAAGGTTTGGGGTGGGGTTCAGGAATATCCAGATCATTCCCAGCCTCTCTTCCCCGCTCCAGGAAGAACGGGACCATGGCGTACAAGCTCCTGCCGGCTGAGGCCGTGTTTGCCAACACCCTGGGGCTCCTCATCCTCATTTTTGGAGTGCTGGTGGTGGCTGCCCTGGCCAGGCCCAGCTGGAAGCGCCCGGATTCCGACTCCCCGGACTCCCGCCAGGTACGGGACGTGCTGGGTGGATTTGGGAAGGTGAATTGGGAAGCTGCCCCCCAGCACAGTCCCGAAGGTGGGGAAGGATTGAGGGATCCCGGCTCATCCCTGTGTCCCACAGCCCCTGCTCTCTGCCGAGCGCTGATCCCAGGGATCTCCCAGCACTCCCAAGCTGCATCCTTGTGCCTCCACGTGCCA